TCAATGCTTTTTGAGTTTGGGGAACAAAAGCAGTCTTAAAGAGCAAGATCCAGGCTTTTGGGTGGATGGGATAAGGATTCCCAGCTTCTTCAGAAAATGAACAAGTACACTAGTATGATGAAAAATATTCATCGGTACAACATTCCTGGTCCTTTTCTCACCAATGCAGTTTTCAATTTTCCTAATACTTCTTCATAATAAGTCCCATTATCATCCCATGCCCTTCGAGAAAATCAATCAAGATTACCCCTTGGGAATCTCTGTAGAAGAATTGATGAATTTGAGTTATGTTGTTGGAGAAGAATATTAAAAGCACCATGGACTGCTAAAAGAATAAACCAATCTATGTTGGAAGAAGTACATCCAGAATGTTCCTTGGAAGCCAAGATGGACAGATTTCATGTCTCATACTTTGGACATATTATCAGGAGGGGCCAATCCCTGGAGAAGGATCTCATGTTTGGTAAAGTACAGGGTTGGAGAAAAAGAGGAAGACCCCCAACAAGATGGATTGGTACAGTGGCAATAGAAATGGGTTCAAACATAGCAATGATTATGAGGTTGGTGTAGAACTGGTCAGTGTTTCGTTCTGTTGTGTACCGAGTTGCTATGAGTGGTACCAACTTGATAGCACCTAACAACAACAACATGACCTTCTGAGCTGACCTCTATGCCTTGAATGCAATTTGCCCAGCAGATCCCCTCAGAAGCTACTGTTTTGATTGGAAGACACTCTAATGAAACTCAGACAAGTAAATTACTGAGAGTACTAGTCTGCAGCCATCCACTGATTGCAGGAACAGGTTTAAACACATTTTGTTTGCACTAAACCTGTGTATGCATGCACTGGAACCCTAGCAGCTGCAGCTTTTAACTTACCCTTCTATGTTATTGTTGTTAAGTGCTGTCAAGGTGATTCCAACTCATAGTGACCCTGATTAGGGTTTCTGAGGAGCAGCTTGTGGGTTTGAACCACTGACCTTGCAATTAGCTGTCCGCTGCTTATTCTAAAGCACTACACCAGGACTTCTACCCTTGTATATATCTACACACACACACACACACACATATGTATATATACATGAATACTCTATGATCTATTTTTATTAAGAAAATTATGTATAGACACAAAGATGGTCCTTAACAGTAGTATTAGCTAATGTTCATTAAACTTTTATCATTGTACTAGTACTATGCTCTGGTAGCATAGTGGT